GGGTACAGGTTGCACCGATCAGGAAGACATAAATGACAACCAAATTCATTACAGATCCCCCCTACCCTAACTGTCTCTTTTTCCATATGAAAGATATCTCATCTCTTCCTATCATTGTGGAATCCCTTGGCCAGGAAGCTAAGGTAACAAAAAAAAGAGAGGAAGGGGCCTCTAAGTGCAGTATTAACAATTTATTAGAAAACAATGTAAAATTTGCACTTACAAGATAAACGGTTAAAAAGACTCATCGTGTGGTAATTGGATCCAGGTGGGTCTGAAGAAGGAGCCTATTGAGCATGCTCCGAAATGCATTACCGCCCCTTTCACCTGCTACATCTGACTCTGCTCTCCAAGCTTCATTTCTGATGCACAGGCACATCCTGGACTCTATTTTTCCTGATAGTTTTGCATAGTTTGCTGCTGGACGGCTGGATGTCCCACCTGGATCCAATTACCACACAATGAGTCTTTTTAACCGTTTATCTTGTAAGTGCAAATTTTCCATTGTTTACTGAATAAATTGTCAATACTGCACTTAGAGGCGCCTTCCTCTCTTTTTCTTGTTACTGCATTGGAGCCTTGCTTCCACTCTAAGAGGAGCTGCCTCAGTGTTACTGCTTCCATCCATCCATCCCTGACATCCATCTGGCACCTTTATCTTACAGCTACAGAGGTTGGGCTCCAACAAGCGCGCCCTATATAATATACATTTTCAGGAAGCTAAGGTAACTTTCCCTAATAGGGACACAGGAAATAAAACCTGACTTGGGTTCTCAGCCTTCCCTACTTTATTAGAAAAACAAAAAGAAAACCCTTGGTACCATCTCACTCATAATATAGATATTAATGTACTGTATATCTATCTATCTATCCAGTTGTATCTGACCCTTGGTGATTGCATGGACCGTCACTCATAAGCAACTTTTTCCATGAATTCTCTTAGCAATTATTTTTACAGGGTAGGTTGCCAGGTCTTTCCCCAACCCCTACAATGCAGGAGATCCTGCATGGCCAGGGATGAAACTAGGACAATTTAGACAGGAGCCAATTAACCTACCAGCATGTCTTTGGAGTGTGGGAGGAAACCGGAGCACCCCTACGCAAGCACAGGGAGAGAACATGCAAACTCCATGCAGGAGGCGCCACGGTCAGGAGTCGACCCCATGACCCATTTTACTGCAGGGCAGACGTGCTAACCACTAAGCCACTGTGCCGCCCCAATGTACTGTATACATAAAACCAAAACTTATTTTTTCAGTTTTGGATTGAGTGGTAAATTGGATATTCATTTAGGCTTCTATTGCTGTTTGTGCTGAAGAAATTTAGCCTGTATAGTTGCCCTGGTGACCACCATCTTCAATACAAAAAGTGTTGGAAAAATATTATATAAATCTGTTGCAAGAACAGAAAATAATGGGAAATAATCTAACAGACACTTTTACCTTGTTGGCTGTCTTAGCATTGACTTCCTTTCATTTTGGAGAGATTTAATCTTAATTCTTATTATGTCATAATTGAAGTAAAATCTCTACAATGGGGCACAAAAAAGCCAACAAAAAAACTGACATTATTAATATAACATCGAATTTATATAGCGCCAAAGGGTTTGCTCAGCGCTGTACAATAGAGGGGGGGCAATACATGAAACAGCACAGCAACAACAAACAGCACACGAGGGGTTAGAGGGCCCTACTCTTTCGAGCTTACAATCTAGGAGGGAGGGGGTAGTGGCACAGGAGGAAGTGGCTGTGGGGGATGGAGTGGTTGGAGAAATGAAGGAGGACGGCTGTTAGGTAAGGGTGGGGTAGGCTTCCCTGAAGAGGTGGGTTTTCAGGGAGCGCCTGAAGGCGAGGAGGGAAGGCGACAATCTGATGGATTGGGGCAGTGAGTTCCAGAGGATGGGGGAGGACCTGGAGAAGTCTTGCAGTCGTGCATGGGAAGAGGAGACCAGGGAGCAAGACAGAAGGAGGTCCTGTGAGGAGCGAAGGTTACGGGTAGGGTGGTACTTGGGAATCAGGTTGGTGAGGTAGGTAGGGGCAGTGTTGTGAATGGCTTTGTAGGTCAGAGTCAGTAGTTTGAATTTGATGCATTGGGCAACAGGGAGCCAGTGGAGGGAAATGACAGAGGGGGGAGGCAGAGGTGGATCGGTTGGTGAGGTGAATGAGTTTGGCCGCTGAGTTCAGGATGGTCTGAAGCGGGGATAGCCTGCAATGGGGTAGGCCGGTGAGAAGGGAGTTGCAGTAGTCAAGGTGTGAGATAATCAGGGAGTGAACGACATGGGTCTTAAAATGTTGTTCTCAATCCGAACATGCACTTTAATAGTAAAGTGGGACACCTGTCAGACACACCAGCACTGGCAACCCGATTGTAGACCTAGCAAATACATGTAGATGATGTAATGACATTTTTCAAGGCAAGAAGGGCATCTTTTCTTTTGCTGCTGGTCCTACAATGAAAATACAGACATATATACAGTTAGATAGGTACACCTGTACATAGTGACTAGTAATTTTTCCTTTTTTTCATAGGAGTTTAGAGCTCTGTGTTTCAAAAATATACCATGCTCTCGTATTCAGGCTCATGATGTTCTGAGCATTTTTGTCTGGATAAAGCAACGTTCTTGCACTGTTTAAAAAATTCAAGATTTTGCAGATAGGTTTCCTTAAATAATTCTTTTCGTATGCTATTGCCTCATTATATTTCTCCATTGACAAGTTTTCCTTGATCCGAGATTTTACTCTTGCTTTGAAATGGCTTGTTAGACAAGCGTTATATCTTCCTGGCTTCTTTCAGTTACTGTTTTTTGCCCATTATTCATGAAATGGTCAGAGTTTAACTATTCTGTTTTTTTACTGACTTTTTTTATTGCTCATACCATTTTACAAATCAAGAATGAATTAGCAGGTACTTGAGCACTTTATTCACATTCAGCAAGGACTGCATGATTTAAAAAGCAAACTTAACTAGATGCTTACAATGGGCTATACTTTATACAATTGATGCTCACTGAATGACGTGGTTACTAACATTCTATCATACATCAAAAACTGTACCTTGTAGAAACTTTAGTTTTATCGTCCTCTTCTATTACCATTGAAAAGCCATTAAACCTAACAAACGTTGGAAACCAAGTAGAATATAAGTTTTACTTAAAATAAAGATTCCATTCATTAACTCCTTGCCACCCAGTCCCAGCACCCCTTTACAAGGGTCTTTATGTCCAGGGGGATGGGAAGGATTGCCCAGTCATGAGACCACTGTGATTTGCTGTCACAGTGGTCACATAGTTGTGAGCCAGTACTGCCAGCTCCCGGTCATTACTAGAGACCGGAGGTGTCCTTGACAGCATGACCACTGTGCGCTCTTAGCATTCTCAACATAGAAAACCACAGATGCATATGCTTGGTCTGTGGGTATTAAAGCCCACCCTCTTTTCCCTGTACATATGTGTTATGTGCATTGCAAGAGGCTAACATTGCACTTGTTTTTCGTGTACTATGAAATGCTATTTTTTGGCATAAAGTAAAAATTCTCATGGACTGATAGTATTCATATTAAAGTAAATCTATGGTTATAGGCAAAATGACATATATGATGCAGTCTGTCATTGATTACAAATCTGTCTGTTCTGCAGTGAAATCACTGCAGCATTGTCATCCTTAAGACATATAGGTTAAGATAAAATTTAAGCAAGCAACAAACAAATTAAAGCCCAATTTCAGCTACCATTTTAAATATCCTGGATTTTCTTACCCTCACTGTGGTTGGGATGCTGCTGAGCAGTGTACTTCAGTACAACACTGCTCTGTGGGAGAACATACTCTTCTAGCAGCTATCTTATGGCACATATCCAAGGGAGCTTGATAAAACAATTTCTGTCGGTTTGTAAATGTTCCAGTAGACACTTTGGAGAAAACTGTGTTCTAAATAGATGCTGGCAGTGTAGATGAGTGGGACAAGTAGTAGTTTTAAAAATAACAGGACAACTGATACCCTGAGCAGTCCCTGATTGTGGTTCACACTTGAGCTAAATTTGGTAAAAACTGCTGTAAAACATTACAATTTTTAGAATAGCAGCCTTGCTAGTGACATCCTTTGTGAATTAAAAGGATGTTTGCAAATATTCATTATTTTGGAAAAAACAAAGATGATTTTGAATATTTTAGTTTTTCCTTTATAGTGAATTTGACCAAGCCTTAAAAAAATGTATAGAGTAACAATAGTGCTGAGATGCAGGCACCTAGTAGCATCTGCAATTATCTGTGATAAACCTAGTACACACAATCAGAAAATCGTACAAAAAATACAGCTTTCGAAGCAATCATACGATAATCTGATCATTAGTACACATTACTCGAAGGGACAAGCAAAATGATTCTCTTATATTACCAGATCGTACGATTTTCATTTAATTAGTACAAATTTTGTCTGAAAACACAATACAATACATAACATCAATTCCGAACTTTTTTTCTGTCATACAAGAATTTTCATAACTTTAGTAACCTCTTCACTTTCGATATAAAACTAGCATTCAAAAAAAAAAACAGACAATCATTCACCCATCCAATATTCTCATCATGTGTACGGGGCTTTAGTCTTCAGTCCAATCCCGCTGTCCCTTGGATCTTAGGTTAAGCCTGTACACAAGACCTTAGTTTCTCTTGCCCTGCCTGTCATTCAATGCTCAAAGAGCAAAGTCTCTGCTGCCCACCAAGGCTCTGACTTTTCACAGTTGAATAGCACACACGGGAAATCAAGGTGGTGGTGGGGTCTTGGAGAAAATTGTAGGTCCTTTGGACAGCCTAGGGTCTAAGATACAGGCAGCTCTATAGGTCTACAAGGCTTCTACCTGAAGACTAACAATGTACTAACAGGCACTGCAAAGTGCCTGTAATGTAGTAATGTTGTTACTTTAGGTCCTTTGATTTTTTTTTAATTAATTGAAAACCATGAGTGCCAAAAACGGTACTTTAAAATGTATATCTTGCTCTATTAAGGAATTATCATTGCTGGAATGAGGCATGGATGACCCGGCCAGATCTCCCAGTTGGTTTTGGAGGATGGCAGGCAGTGGATGCCACACCACAGGAGACTAGTGATGGTAAATTCTTTCTATGTGTTTTCTCCTAATGTTATGTTATGTCATGTCTATATGGTCAATGCAAGATTGTCAGACAGTAAGACACTATAACCCCTACATGTATTTTATTTTTTGTTACAGCAATTGTTTAGCATGGAGGCTGACTTTGCTGTCTAATATACAATTAGCCTAGTTGAGAAAGTGTCATCAGATCTATATCTTATGTTATATTATGTCTATATAGTCAATGCAAGACTGTCTGATCAGATAGTAAGACAATATAACCTCTACATGTATTTTATTTTTTATTACAGCAATTGCTTAGCATGGAGGCTGTCTTTACTGTCTAATATACAATTAGCCTAGTTGAGGAAGTGTCAGCATATTTATATATGAAACACAAGAATTACAAAGGATACTTTCAAGTAAATGTTAAAAGAAACAAAAAAAATAGTTATCATCCAATAAATTTTTATTCCTAGTTTTGTGTGTATATTAATAGCAAAAAATAATATCAGCTGTTATGGCTATGAGAACATTTATTCCTACAAATATTTATCATAGCAAACCATAAAAAAGGTAGATAGCTTTTGCTGTTTTATTTAAGATCAGCATCATTGCCAATCTGCCATTAAGTGACTGCAAAAATACAGTATATTAACACACAGTTGTGTATGTGATCAATGTCTGCCAAGCTCAGTAAACTGATAATGCGCAGAAGTGAACACAACTGACAACTAAGGCAATCAGGACTAGGTATACAACATGTAAAAATTTGATGTTCATAATCCTTTTATTAAAACTTACCCAGGCTGAGCAGCCAACAAGAGCTCAACCTAGCACACCATACCCTCCGATTCACCAGTCCTTCAAGTAAATGTCAAAAAATATGTAGGCTGCCTAATCAAGCCTGAATAGTGTACTGATAAAAATGGAAATCACATACACTTTTGTTGATGGCATAAGGAGTTTGAATAAGTCTTATATAAATGAACATTGCTGCAAATAATACTGTTTACTCCCTTTTTATATAAAACAAAAAAAAAAACCATACGGAAATATAACTTGTTAAGAAGACAAGTGTACTCCTACCATCTAAAAGCACCGTAACTATTTTTTTACTAAATCAGAATATTCTAAGTTCCAGCAAAGATGGTTATTGGAGTGTAACTCAAATGTAGAATTGAATTTAATTAAAAAGACATATGCAAGATATCCCTATAGTACAACAAAAATGTTACTGTAAGATAATCTTTAGTTTTGTGTATGTTTAATCATCTCCTTAATTGTGTCTTAGTAACAAAAAAAATTTTAAATGCTCATTTTAGTTGAAGATTGCAATATAAAATACAGCACTGAAATTCAGCTGACTTTTCTTAAAGCCGAACTTCAAGAAGATAAAAGATACAAATTAATGAAGCTTTGTGTTCATTATTACCATATTTTCCCAGCATATAAGATGACTGGGCGTATACTGGGCCCTACTTTTCCTGTTAAAATATAGGGTTTGGGCTATATACTCGCCGTATAAGACTACCCCTCTTCCAACGCACACCAAATAAAAATTAAAAAACATCAGATTTGATTTCAATATGGTATGGTATTTCAGTATGGTATTCCAATGATGGGGTGCTATTCCTCCCACTGACACCAATGATGGGGCACGATTCCTCGCTCTGACACCAATGATGGGGCACTATTCCTCCCACTGATACCAATGATGGGACACTATTCCTCCCACTGACACCAATGATGGTGCCCCATCATTAGTGTCAGTGTGTGAGGAATAGTGTCCCATCATTAGTGTCAGTGGGAGGAATAGTGCCCCATCATTGGTGTCAGTGGGAGGAATAGTGCCCCATCATTGGTGTCAGTGGGAAGAATTGTGCCCCATCATTGGTGTCAGTGGGAGGAATAGTGCCCCATCATTGGTGTCAGTGGGAGGAATAGTGCCCCATCATTGGTGTCAGTGGGAGGGATAGCACCCCATCATTGGTGGCAGTGGGGGAAGGAATAGTGTTCCATCATTGGTGTCAGTGGGGGGTGGAATAGTGCCCCATCATTGGTGTCAGTGGGGGGTGGAATAGTGCCCCATCATTGGTGTCAGTGGGGGGGGAGGAATAGTGCCCCATCGTTGGTGTCAGTGGGGACGAGAAATGGTGCCTCATCGTTGGTGTCAGTGGGGGAGGAATAGTGCCCCATAGTTAGTGTCAGTGGGGGGGATAGTGCCAATAGTGTTCCAGCATGGAGCTGCTGCGCACTTACCGGCCGCTCCCTCACTCGATTTTCGCTGGGGCCGCTCGGCTCTGCTCCTCCTCGCCGGTGATTGGCCGCCTCTGTGCCTTTCCTGAGTTACAGTTCTGGCGCCCAATCACCGGTGAGGAGGTGGAGCCGAGCGGCCGCGCGAACATCGAGCAGCCGAACCGAATGAAGGAGCAGCCGCGCTTCCTGGACTGGATCGTCGTGGGACCGGGACCAGAGCCAGGTAAGGAACAGCAGCCCCCTGCCGGCCCCTGTAGTTAGTGTCCCTTCTGTCGGAAGGGGGGCGGCACCGCGCCGCTCCCCGAAAAAGTGCCGCCCTGACACTGGCTCGCTGTATACCGGCGTATAAGACGACCCCCGACTTTTCAGAAGATTTTCATGGGTTAAAAAGTCGTCTTATACACCAGAAAATACGGTATGTCATTTACCATATTTTTTTATACAAGGAATGTACAGTAAGCACCAGCATTTGGTATTAGCCTCTTGCAACCTCTGTACAATGCAGCCAAGATTGGGATAGGGGGAAGCAGCACAAGAAGCCAATCAGTTATGCAGAGAGCAAAGTGGAAGAGAGAGATGACTTAATTAGTGTGCTGTATCTCCTTTCATTGTCCAGTCACAGGCTGGGGAGGGGTAAGACCTCTTTATGTGGTATTTTCCCTGCAGCAAAAAAAAAAAAGAATTCTGCCCTATAAGATAGAACTGTACTACATGACAGGGCTATGTAAATCTCAGATGGACAGAAATAAAAAATCTTTGCCAGGTAAAAACTGATCCCTGTATGTATTTCATCTGTGTATTTAGCTGTTTGCCTGTAGTTCATCTGTAAAAGGACAGTCAGCTTCTAATACTAGTAACTAATAGCAACCAATGTGAATTGCTTTTCATCACTTTAACATTGTCAAAACAATAAAAAATTATTGCAATTAGTTTGCTATGAGCAGCAGAAGTTTTCCCATTACATGATACCAAACCAAAGCTTTGGATCACTCTTCATTTATTTTGGGCAACAAATGTTTTCTTTTATTGTTCAATACAATTTTATTGACTTTCCAAAATACTGTTACAAACATTTTAAAGTGGAAAATAGCAACAACAAGTAATGATTTTCACTGTGGCAGTATACATGTTTGACCTAGTGGGCCTAGAATTCAAAGTGAACAATAGTTAAAATCTTTACTGTTGAAATTAGCAGTACAGAAAGAAACAAGAAAAGAACTGAGCTGTCCAAATCCTTTCTATTAGGCCGTTACGTTGCTGAAAGGGAAAGGGGGAAGTAATGAGGGAAGGCTGGACCTAAGGGGAAAAGGGATTGGAGCTAGGCCTAAAGACCAAAAAGGCTGGTATCAACTTCAGAAGTAAGGAAGCGTGTAAACCAAGGGCACGCGATATCAGAGTATTTTTGGTTGTCAGACAACCTGGCCCTGCTTTCTCATACAGCATAGTCTGAGTAATCCTAGAATTAGTTTCAGCTATAGAGAGATTACACGTTTTTTCTGTGCTTTACCAATCATCTGCTTAGCAGCTGTAAGTTTTAATTGTAGTTTAAGGAGACAAGCTGGACTAACACAAAGAACGGCATACTCTGCTGTAGGCTGCACTTCCTGGCCAATAATGTAGTTAGAAGGGAAAAGACAGCAGTCCGGAACTGCTGAAGCCATAGCCGCCATGTTGGATAGAAGTGTATCATTAATCAGTTTCAACATCTAGTATGTAATGTGAACAGGATTTTACTGTCACCCATATTTGAGAGCAGTCCCCTATAGCTAAATATTTTCTGTGGTCCATTGGTCACCATTGAGTAGATGTTGAGACCTGAGATGCTGAGGAAGATGACAGCAATGCATATATAGGTGATATCACGCCTGACAAATGTAGGTCAGCATAGCACTGCTGCTGAAATGGGGTCAAAAGTAAAGGACCATCTGGAAACTTAAAGTGATGTTCTATAAATTGTTTTATCTGGAGATATTGACATAGCTCTGTGATTGGCAGCTGATAAGTCTGTTGTAATTAGAGATGAGCGAATCGAACATGACGAAGTGGAATTCGTTTCGAAGATTAGGAAAAATTTGATTCGCGCCGAATCCGAAAATTAGCAAACTTCGGATGCACGAATCGAATTTTCCCAAAAATGGCGGCGACATGTGTGGCGACGGAGCGGGGATCTCTGAGAAGGCGCGCAGACAAGGCGCGCTGACCCATAATGCATTCATTCATGACATGTGATCGCATTAGCCAATCAGCAGCCAGCCAGCCAGAACTGTGTAATGGTGGAGCTATAAATCGCGGCCATCTTAGAATTCTCCATTAGCCTCGGTCATTCAAGAGAGACAGACCTGTCTGTATTAGGGACAGAGTTAGGGCCATAGAGTACTTTAGGGCCACAGAATCGTTACTCAGGGACACAGAATCGTTACTCAGGGACACAGAATCGTTACTCAGGGACACAGAATTGTTACTCAGGGACACAGAATCGTTACTCAGGGGACACAGAATCGTTTACTCAGGGACACAGAATTGTTACTCAGGGACACAGAATTGTTACTCAGGGACACAGAATCGTTACTCAGGGACACAGAAGAATTGTTACTCAGGGACACAGAAATGTCACTCAGGATCGTTACTCAGGGACACAGAATCGTTACTCAGGGACACAGAATCGTTACTCAGGGACAGACACAGAATCGTTACTCAGGGACACAGAATCGTAACTCAGGGACACAGAATCGTTACTCAGACGGGACACAGAATTGTTACTCAGGGACACAGAATTGTTACTGAGGGACACAGAATCGTTACTCAGGGACACAGAATCGTTACTCAGGGACACAGAATCGTTACTGAGGGACACAGAATTGTTACTCAGGGACACAGAATTGTTACTTAGGGACACAGAATTGTTACTGAGGGACACAGAATCGTTACTCAGGGACACAGAATTGTTACTCAGGGACACAGAATTGTTACTGAGGGACACAGAATCGTTACTCAGGGACACAAAAATTGTTACTCAGGGACACAGAATCGTTACTGAGGGACACAGAATCGTTACTCAGGGACACAGAATTGTTACTCAGGGACACAGAATTGTTTACTCAGGGACACAGAATCGTTACTGAGGGACACAGAATCGTTACTCAGGGACACAGAATTGTTACTCAGGGACACAGAATTGTTACTCAGGGAAAAACAGAATTGTTTACTCAGGGACACAGAATCGTTACTCAGGACAAGACACAGAATTGTAACTCAGGGACAGACACAGAATTGTTACTCAGGGACACAGAATCGTTACTCAGGGACACAGAATCGTTACTCATATTGGGACAACACAGAATTTGTTACTCAGGGACACAGAATTGTTACCTCAGGGACACAGAATCGTTACTCAGGGACACACAGAATTGTTACTCATTGGGACACAGAATTCTTTACTCAGGGACACAGAATCGTTACTCAGGGACACAGAATTGTTACTCAGGGACACAGAATCGTTACTGAGGGACACAGAATTGTTTACTCAGGGACACAGAATTGTTACTGAGGACACAGAATTGTTACTCAGCAGGACACAGAATTGTTACTGAGGGACACAGAATCGTTACTCAGGGACACAGAATCGTTACTCAGGGACACAGAATTGTTACTGAGGGACACAGAATCGTTACTCAGGGACACAGAATCGTTACTCAGGGACACAGAATCGTTACCTCAGGGACAGAAAATCGTTACTCAGGGACACAGAATTGTTACTCAGGGACACAGAATCGTTACTTTCTGCTTCACAACCACTATTGTATGTTCAAAGAGTTAAATCCCTCTGTTTTGTTTGGGGTGCTATATTGAATTAAAGAGTATGTCAGACAACACGCAGAGGAGTGGCAGAGGAGGCAAGTGTTTCAGGAGCGAGCAGACGTGCAGCAGAGGAAGGGGTACCGAGCAGCAGCACCAGTCGCAGCAGCCAGAGGCCAGTGCTCCCGTGTCATCCACGGTCGTGTCTCCACCGACAACCCTGCCGTCATCGATTGGTTGACTCGGTCGTCTTCCTCTTCCCAGGTCACCTCTGACACCTACAGCCAACGGTCGGTGGTACGTCAGACACAACCGTTAGTTAGGCATGGCCCCGGGAGCAAGCCCACTGAAATCACGTGTCCTCTACCTGCCCCTGTCATTTGGTGTTCCCTCACCAAGCGAAGTATCGCATGCTGTGGGCTCAGCCCCACTGTACAGTGAGGAAGAGCTAACAGAGGGCGGTCAGGAACGGGGGGTAGACATCCGCCTCTTCAGCAGCCAGCGAAGAAGTACTGGCGAGGAGAGTGGCTCGGTAGCCGGTCTAGAGACAGGTCTGTCCCTCCTGACCCACACGCAGCCGGGGGGCTAGTAGTGACGCGGAGACCCTAATTGATGATGAATGAGGCTGATCCGCACTTGGCAGCCTCATCCGTCATCAGGATGTATTGCTTCGCATCATCAGGAGAAGAGGGTGCCAGCTTGCCAGCGAGCAAAACAGTCGGTGGGTTGCCCAGGAGGCAGCAGGTCGCAGCAGTGTCAGTGGAGGCAAACGGCCGAACGGAGTAGAGCACCAGCTCCACTGCAGCCTACCACCACGGCCAGTAGTGGTGCCGGTGTGCACGGAGGAAGTAGCAGTCAGCCAGTGAAGGAGTAGCGGGGCAAAGTTTCCTACTCGGCGGTGTGGCAATTTTTCGTCAAGCCGCCCGAGGAAGTAAACGTAGCCATATGTCGCCTATGTGGCCAGAAAGTCAAGCGTGGCCAGGGGGCCCATGTTGGGACTACAGCGTTGCGTCAGTATATTGCAGCGTCGCCATTTCGGTGGCCTGGGAAAACCGTGATAAAGATATGGCGGTTCTGCCTGCCCCCAGCCCCCGCTCCATCACCACGTCTCCGTTACTTGCTCCCGTCACCCGACGTCAATCGCCCTCTATCAGCCAGTCAAGGCTCCAACACCTCTGCTGAGGGGAGTTTGTCCGCTCGTTGGCATCTTCCGCTCGTTCAGATGCTCCCTTCTCCTGCTACTCTCTCTTCACGGATTCCGTCAGCAGTCTTTCTTGGAATCCGTTTCCAAAGAGACAACAGTTTGCGAGCACGCACCCGACG